AGGTGCCCAAACAAGACAGATCGCGTGTGTGTGTGTGTGTGTGTGTGTGTGTGTGTGTTCTTGTGGAGTTTGCTTTCTCGTGGGGGAAGAGAAGTGCATGACTGCAGGAGCCAGAGACGCACCAACAGTGATTAGGGCTGGGCAGGGAAGGAAACCAGGCTGCTGGATGTACAGGCCCAGGTGGCTGTTCCAGCCGGGGCCCTGGGACAGCTGCCCTTAGGGGGGATATCTGAGCTGAGACCTTAGGTGCCAGGCAAAAGGAAGCGCAAAGGCGAAGGCCTCCATGGAGGGAGCTTGTGGAGTATAAAGAACGGAAGTGAGGCCATCGTGTCTGGAGCACAGGGGGAGGTGGGCAGAGCAGAGAGTGGAGGCAGATAGAGCCCAAGGGAGGGGCTGGCCAAGGCCAGATCGGTTAAGGCCTTGGGAGGTCAGGGTAGGGAATGTGGATCTTATTCCAACGGACACAGAAAGAATCGGGGAGGTCCAGTGGGTTACGGGGAGCAATGGCCGAAACAGGAGGACCCGAGTGACGGAGGCTGGTGGGAGGTGAGAGAGAGGCTGATGTGGACTAAGGGAGTGGAGGAAAGTAGGAAGATGGCAGATAGACTCAAGAAGGACTCACCGACTGGGAGAGGAGCAGCTTGGGACAGAGCTCGGTTGTGGCTGTGCGACAGTTAAGGTCCTCATTAGGCATCCATGTGGAAATAGGTAGGCAATTCCATATATGAGCTTGGAGCTCTGGAAAGGAGCCAGGCTGGGGACACCCCACTAATGCTCCTTCTCGAGCAAAAATGCACGTCTAAGGTCAGCACTCACACGGCCACGGGCTTCTCCAAACTCTCAGTGCGTGTTCACACAAACGCACTCGTCCACGGGCATCCACAGCCACACTCTCACCCAGCAGGGATCATGTGCACTCACACACACACACACACACACACACACACAGACACACACACAGTCATCTCAGCAAAAAAAAAGAAGCATCGACAGCTCCTTCTGAGTCAGAGGACCCTTGTACAGTTCTCAAAATAATAATGCCTGGGGCAGTTTGAACCATGGCTCCAAAATTCTTTGTTCCATCCCTTGAAATCTAAGTGGGCTTGGGACTGCTTCAACCAGTAGGTGGCTCCAAGTGGCCCTGCGTTGACTCCTGAGACTGAGTCACTGGGACAGCGACACCTGGAGCCCTGCTGATCTCTGTGACTTGCATTAAAGTCATGAGGGTGGGTACGTGCTTGCTGCCGGCCTCTATCTCCCCTAGAGAATAGAGAATCCCTCTTCATTTGTTTCCCCCAAATGAGAAAGGAAATTATCTAATTGGTCCTTTGGGCAAGCATCTTCACACACGGCTTCCGTTGAAGGTGGGCAGGACCTATTAATTCATTTCCTAGACAGCAAAAGTGATGAATGTCATCTTAGAGATTAGGTTATAAAAGATGGCAATTTCCATCTTGTTCGTCCTCTCCTGATGTCTCACTCACTCTCTCCGATGTAAGCTGCCCAGTGGAGAGGTCCAAATGGCAAAAGGTGAGGGTAGCCTCCAGGCAATAGCCTGTGAGGAACTAAATCCTGCCACTAATGAAATAGTCACACCAACAAACAAAAAAAGAAAGTCTGTGACGATACCAAAAAAAAAAGGGGCACCAGAACTCATAAAAGTTGATTTTCTCTGCTCTGAAAAGTCAGAGAGGGCCTCCCTGAGGAAGTGACATTTGAGCTGAGCATGGAAAGATGTCTGGATGGGCTGAGGCAACAAAGGGAGGGAGGAGCACTTCTGGCATAGGAAACAGCAGGTGCAAAGGCCCTGTCGCAAGAGGGAACCTGATAAGAATGGGAGACTGAGAGCAAGTAAATGTGTTTGAAGATCAGAGAGCAAACGGGAACTTGGTGGGAGACGAGCCTGGAAGAGGGACATAGGGTCCCACGCAGGACCTCGTGGGTCTTTAATCCTAAACACAATAGGGAGCCGATGAAAGGCTTTAAGCTAGGTTTTCCTACCATAGGAGCCAGAACCAGTCTGACCATAGCAAGCTTGGGACTTGCAAATATGTTTGTACAGTGGATTTTCCAAAGGAGGGGTTCAGACAGATTTGGTAACCATGGAGATGTCTATGTGGACACTAACAATTATGATAATGAAGCCACAAACTTGGGAAACCGGGCGTTATAAATAGAATTTGTTCCGGGTGAGCTTTGAGTAGTCTGGGCTGACGAAAGGTGCTGGAAACCACACTGTGCCAACACAAAGGGTCTGATGTCTGAAAAGGTGGCTCGCCCTGTGTGTGAACGGCGCGCACGGACTGCAGAGCTGAGGGCTGGTGCCATAGCAACCCTTGGACGAAAGGGCCTTTCTTCAGTATTTCAAACAGGGTCCCGATGATGGGAGAAGGAAAAGGAACATATGCAGCGTTGTCTGCCATCCACACCCTCACAAGCAACATCTTATTTAATCTTAATAATTGCCACAGTAAAGCTAATTATCCTCGCTCTGAGGATGATGAATCTGAACCTCGGAGAAATGATATTTGTGCCTAGCTCCCTTCCTCCTTGCTTCTAGAGCAGGTCTCTGTCTGTCCAGGCCCCAAATGCCAGATCCTGGGGCGCCTGGGTGGCTCAGTCGGTTGAGCGTCCGACTTCGGCTCAGGTCATGATCGTGCGGTCCGTGAGTTCGAGGCCCACATCGGGCTCTGTGCTGACAGCTCAGAGCCTGGAGCCTGTTTCGGATTCTGTGTCTCCCTCTCTCTCTGCCCACCCCCCGGCTCATGCTCTGTCTCAAATATGAATAAACGTAAAAAAAATTTTTTTTAAATGCCAGATCCTTACTTTTCCCACATCCTCTGCAGTTACAGCAAAGGCACGTGGGCCAGTCGTGGCCAGTGTCCTGTAGAGGAAGCCCGGTGTGAGAGGAGGGATGTCCAGCGAAGGGTTTTTTCCCAAATAAAGATGTAGAGGACATAGCACCTCTCTTCTTCAGACAGATGTGTTTGTGTCTTCATCTCACGTGTAGAGCTTTGGTGGCCAGCTTATGACAATAAGATGACAAGTGTAGGGACCAAAGCTGAGGCTGGCGAAGGGCACGAGGGTAGAAAGATGGAAAGACCTTGGGTCCTTAAAATTAAAAAGTGCCTGAAGGACGCTTGGGACCCCTTACTTCCTAAAATTTTGTTCCGTCAGATAATAAATGAGCGTATTGTTTACCCAGAGTAAGCTATTTAGCTGACCAATCTGCTACTTTCAGCTTAAAATATCAAAACTACGGCAGTCTAGGGGCGCCTGGGTGGCTCAGCCAGTTAAGCGTCAGACTTAGGCTCAGGTCACGATCTCGCAGTTCCTGAGTTCAAGTCCCGCGTTGGGCTCTGTGCTGTCAGCTCAGAGCCTGGAGCCTGCTTCGGAATCTGTGTGTGTGTGTGTGTGTGTGTGTGTGTGTGTGTGTCCCTCCCCCACTCATACTCTGTCTCTCAAAAACGAATAAGCATTAAAAAAACCCACAAACCTATGGCCGTCTACTAATTGCACCCTGTTCTAATTCCTCCCCTACTTCCTTTTAGTAATAATCTCCCCAAGTTTTAGCTGGGTTCACGGCTGCCCTGCTAGAGAATATGTTTCCAGCTTCCTTTTCAGCTTCGGGGGCTCTGTGACTGCGTTCTGGCCAATAGGATGTGAGTGGAAGTGACGTGTGGAACTTTGGATCAAGTTCTTAGCTGCCTGTCCTCACCCTCATCCTCCTTCTTGCCAGCTGGAGTGCTGGACAGCTGGGATAGACTCAGAGAAGGTAGCAACCGGTTGAGGATGACCGATCTATACTTTTACATAAGAAAGAAAGGAAGCTCTCTCATAATGAAGCCGTTATTTTTAGGTCACTGTGTTATAGCGACTTATCCTGGACCCTCGCAATAACCAAAACACACAGGCATTCAGTGGCGGTACAAGTCAGGGTTCTTGCTGGAAGCCACACAAACCACCTTGCTCCTGTGTTTGAGCACGGGCAGCCAAGACGTGGAGTAACAGAGGGTCTTCCAAAGTTCAAGGTGGGTGTGCTGTTGCCCCGGGACACAATGCTATCGGGAGGCCCCTTCCCTCTGAATAATGGATGCCGGGAGTCAACTTGATAGCTATTGTATGAAGCCCTCCCTAAATAATAACAGCTTTAATCTATGGAATGCTTATTATGTGCCTGGGAATAGTCCCATGGGTTTTACCTCTAGTGACTCATTTAATCCTCACAAAGCCCTCTGTGATAGATATGATTCACAATCTTATTTTGTAGATGAGAAACTAAAGCATAGAGAAGGTTCAATAACCTGCTCTTGCTCAAACATGCCAAGCACACTTCTCCCCCGGGGCCTTTGCACTAGCTGTCCCCTCTGCCCAGAATGCTCTTCTTCCAGGCATCCATCCACAGGGCTCAAACGTCACCTGTTCACAGAAGCCTTCTTCTTTTTGCATAGAAGCCTTCTTAACTGTCTTTTTTTTTTTTTTTTTTAATGTTTATTTATGAGAGACACAGCACCAGCGGTGGAGGGGCAGAGAGAGAGGGAGACACAGAATCTGAAGCAGGCTCCAGGCTCTGAGCTGTCAGCACAGACTCTGGGGCTCCAACTCCGGAGCCCCGAAGTCACGACAGAGCCGAAGTCCGATGCTTAACCCACTGAGCCACCCAGATGCCCCTTCACTACCTTATTTACTATCTTACCGCTACCCACTCGCCGCCACCCTCCACTCGACCAGGGTGACCATATAATTTATCACCCAAACCAGCACGCTCCGAAGAGCCAAGAGGGGACACAATCGGTAGGTATCCTATTTCCGGAAAAGAGCCGCAGAACGGGTGGCAGTTCGTCGACTCCCGACCGGGAGGCGGGGCCGCCTCGGCCCCTCGGGCGGCTCTCCGCGCGCTGCAGGCCAGAGCCCGGGAGGTCGAAGCGCTGCCTCCCGAGCGCCGCCGAGGGTTTACGGAGACCGCCGAGGACGTGGGAGGCGGGGCCACGTCCAGAGGCGGAAGCGCCGGCGCAATGGTGGCCGAAGAGGGCCGGAGGGGTGACGTCACCGGCAGTCTCCGGAGAGAGCCGACGGGCTCCGAGCGGCAGCGCCGAGGCGCAGTCATGGCGGCCGCCTGCGCCGCGGCCGCTGGGAAGAGCGAGGATCCGGCGCCGGAGGCCGCGGCGCTGGCCGCCGCCCGGGAGCGGAGCAGCCGCTTCTTGAGCGGCCTGGAGCTGGTGAAGCAGGGCGCCGAGGCGCGCGTGTTCCGCGGCCGCTTCCAGGGCCGCGCGGCCGTGGTGAAGCACCGCTTCCCCAAGGGCTACCGGCACCCGGCGCTGGAAGCGCGGCTCGGCCGGCGGCGGACGGTGCAGGAGGCCCGGGCGCTGCTCCGCTGCCGCCGCGCAGGTGAGGCGGCCCGGCCCGGCCCGGGGAGGCCGCTGCGCCTCGTTTTGCCTCAGTCTCTCTCTTTGCACCCGCCGCGTGAACTTCAGTTGGGAAGTGTCGGCCTTTCTCCCCCGCCCCCCTCCCCCCGCCTTCGTTCATTTCATTCTTTGGCCTTGGCACCCGCGACGAGCACGTGTCCCGGAGCCTTAGCTCCTGGTTCAGTTCCCGGCTCTAACTGTCGCTCGGCGTTGAGGACGCCGTTTGACTGCCCCGCGCCTCGGTTTCCCCATGTGCACCGTCTCCGTGTTCGATCATTATCTTTACGTTCGTGACTTTTAAGAAGCAGGTGTAATTACAAGTACGAACTCGCTGCGGAGGCTGTCGGGGTTCCAATACCGACACGACCGCTTCCCATGTAGCCTTACAACAAATTATTTACGCTCAGCCTCAGTTTCCTCCCCTGTAAAGTGGAGTGAGTCATAGTATGTTTGAGTGCGTGATTGGCACATAGCGCTCAGTAGATTTTAGACTCCGTGGACTTGTATATTGAGTTTTTCATTAAAACACCATTGTCCACCACGGTATATCCCTTGTCCTCAGATGAGAAACTGAGGCTCAGGCGGGGGAAGTAACTTGCCCAAGGTTGCACAGCTAGTGAGTGACCCAGCCAGGCTCCCAGCCCATAGCCTCTGACTCAGAAACACTGGCTTTTCTTTTCAGTTTCACACATCCTTTCTTTTATTAATATTCGTTAGGCACCTGCTTTACCCCAGGACATTGTTAGGTGCTGGGTGAGCTGGAGGAAATTCAGTCGCCAACAAGCAGACAGATCTCTTGCCCTTGCTTGGATGTGATGAAGCTATTTGTGTGTTCCTATTTTCAGTTTTCATCTGATCTAGGATGTAAGGTCCACTAAGCAGGGATTGGCTGCTTTGTTTCCTGCTGTATCCCCACTGATAGGTCTCCAGTATCTAGAAAAGTGTGGTGGGCCCAATTGTCATTCAGTAAATATTCATTGAAACTCGAATTCAGTGAATTCTTTGCATTACTGGAGGTATTGTTCCCGCGTTATGGAAACAGAAACAGAGGCTGAGAGAATTGATGTGACGTTTAGGTCATACAACTAGTAAAGGAAGGCAACCAGGATTTGAACCCGGCCTTTCGAACGCAAAGATGAATCTCTCAGCTAGCGCACTGCTTGGCCTGTTTGTGTCCTGGTCAGGTAGAACGACTCTGACTGGGCGATGCTTGCCCTTCTAGGTCTTTGTTTTGTTTTTAGGGAGTGAGTGTGACAAATGCAACCCAGTCATAAAGGGTAGGAAGGAGGAGGGAGTTTTGGCACTACTAAACTTAGCTGTGGGGTGGCTTAAGGCTCAACCCTGCAGGGCATGAGCCGGGGAAGCTTCCAGATGAGTTAAATTGTACTCTTCTGCAGCATTCCTAAATTTTTTTTTTCCCCTGAAATAAGCAGATATGCACGGTAAAAGTCTGGCTCAATCTTTGAAAATTAAGCTTAACATGAAGAGAGAATCTCATCCAGTAACGATTTGTATCTTGATTGCAGGGATATCTGCCCCTGTTGTCTTTTTCGTAGACTACGCCTCCAACTGCTTATACATGGAAGAGATTGAAGGTTCAGTGACTGTTCGAGATTATATTCAATCCACCATGGAGACCGAAAAAACTCCCCAAAGTCTCCTCGGCTTAGCCAAGACGGTTGGGCAGGTTTTGGCTCGAATGCACGATGAAGACCTGATTCATGGTGATCTTACCACCTCGAACATGCTGCTGAAACCCCCCGTGGGACAGCTGAACATCGTGCTCATAGACTTTGGGCTGAGTTTCATTTCTGCACTTCCAGAAGATAAAGGAGTCGACCTCTACGTGCTGGAGAAAGCCTTCCTCAGTACCCACCCCAATACCGAGGCTGTGTTTGAAGCCTTTCTGAAGAGCTACTCCACCTTCTCCAAAAAGTCCAGGCCGGTGCTAAAAAAGTTAGATGAAGTGCGCCTGAGAGGAAGAAAGAGGTCCATGGTCGGGTAGAAGAGTCTGACAAGTACTGACGTGCTGGCCATTTGCGTCAAAGGGAATTTGAAGGAAGGCTCCGAATATGAGATTAGACCTAAATAAAGGCATTGAGATCCTTTTAAGTGCTGTCTGTGATCACGCTTGTTCAGTGTCATTATCATCTGCGGTCGACTGTTCTCAACAGCTTACTGTGGACAGAAGACAAGTTCTAGGCAGAATTGGGTATTTAAAAGAAATCTAGAACGGGCTTCCTCTTCGGCCAGGCCGCGTATATGTCAGGTACCTGGGCAATGGCATTGCAGAACGTTGAACCACGTGATGAGAACATTACTCTTCAGTCTTTTGGGTGATGTGGGGACAGAGTCTCAGTTGGTGACAGATACCTTTATCAACCCGCTAACCCAGCAGTTTTTTTGTCGTGTACATGACACATTCCCCCTGAAACCAATACAATGGGATACAGCCAGCATTTTAAAAATGAACTAGAGGGGCGCCTGGGTGGCTCAGTTGGTTGAGCGTCCAACTTCAGCTCAGGTCACGATCTCACAGCTCGTGAGTTCGAGCCCCGCGTCGGGCTCTGTGCTGACAGCTCAGCCTGGAGCCTGCTTCCAATTCTGTGTCTCCCTCTCTCTCTGCGCCTTGTCTGCGCGCACTGTCTCTCTCAAAAATAAATCAACGTAAAAAATAAAAATGAAGTAGAATCATAGAATAGAAAATATCAGAGCGCCTTACGTGTATTGTTTAATAAAACTTGTTTCAAGTGTATGTATAGACATACAGATACCCAGGGTATCTACTGGGTTTTGATGTAAGACACATTTCTTTTTGAGAGTCTTAGCAAAAAAAAGATGAAAAATACTGCTGACCTCCAATTAGTCTCGTTTTAAAAAAGCAGGCTCATAGCTTTCAGGCAACTGGAATTTATGTGATTTTATGCAGCATTGTTTTTATCTTTGTTGCTCCGTATTTCTATGATTACCTTGTAACTAAGACAAGTGATTGATCTAAAGTTCCTTTTAAGTTCCTTTAGTAAAAGAAAGTGAGTTGATTTATATCACAGATAGTAAGCACGTAGAACAAAAGAGGTGAAACTACCTAGAAATGACTAGTTTGATAAAGCCTGGCTTAAGGGAAGGGGCAGCAAAACAGCAAAGATGCAAAATGCCACCAATTAGCTTGCACTTAAAACCCCTCCCAGCCTCAGTCTCTTCCCCAGAGATGTGTGTCTGTGGGGAGGGAGGTATAATAAAGTACCTCTCCTCCTTGTCTGCACCAGCCAGCAAATAAGTACTTTGAGTGCCTTCTCTGTGCCCAGTATCATTGGCTACTGGGTACGTGGGCAGTGAGCATTTCCGTGGGTCCGGGACTGTGGGTTTCCTTCACCACAGTCAGCCCTGTGCCTGTGGCAGATGCCCAGGAATGAATGAAAACTTCCCTTCCTGGGTACTGGTGACCAGTAGACAGGAGAGTGAATATCGTTGCCTGGTTATCACTCATCAAGATACTGTCCCAGGAGTGTTCATATTGGAATTGAAACAACTCTAAGGTAGCATCCCCAGTGTATCGATGGAGAACTTGTCCAAGATGTCACAGGTGCAAGGGAGACTTTTTCCTGGCTCCCAAGCCCGTGTGGCCTCCACTGATGCTTTAGGAAACGAGATGCTGGCAGGGATACACTTTTGATATATCTTGACCTTCTATAACGTCATTTTCCAAGAACTTCAAGGGCCCCAGGGGCAATGATGTTTTCAAGGAATACTGTCAACGTGACTGAGAGCTGTCTGCCTCGGGGTGAGAATGACTGGTGGGCACACACGTACAGGTAGTAAGTCAGGAAACAGCTAGAGCTCGCCGCGTGCGGGGCCCTGGAGATAGAGGGGGACCTAAGGCTGCCCTTACTCAACGAGGAAACAGTGACATTAGAACTGGTGTGTGAAGGAGAGCCGGGGGCACCCGGGTGGCTCAGTCGGTTGAGCGTCCGACTTCGGCTCAGGTCATGATCTGGTGGTTCATGAGTTTGAGCCCCACGTCGGGCTCTGTGCTGACAGCTCAGAGCCTGGAGCCTCCCTCGGATTCTGTGCCTCCCTCCCTCTCTGCCCCTCCCCTGCTCGCGTTCTGTCTCAACTTATTTTTTTCTTAATTAAACCAAAAAAGAACCGGGAGGTGGGGGAGCGTGTCCCAGGCAGAGACCCATGAGGGACAAAGTTGGTAAAGGAGGGGCATCCCTGGGCAGCAAGGCCAGGGTGGCCAGTTCGCAGCGAGCAGAGCAGAGGAAGAGCGAGAAGTGAGATCAGAGAGGTGGGTGAGGACCAGCTCGGGGCCTTGTCACGAGCCCGGGTATTGTTCTCAACTCGACTGCAGTTTTTTTTTTTTTTTTTTTAATTTTTTTTTACACGTTTTTTTTTTTTTTTTGGGACAGAGAGAGACAGAGCATGAACGGGGGAGGGGCAGAGAGAGAGGGAGACACAGAATCGGAAACAGGCTCCAGGCTCCGAGCCATCAGCCCAGAGCCTGATGCGGGGCTCGAACTCACGGACCGCGAGATCGTGACCTGGCTGAAGTCGGACGCTTAACCGACTGCGCCACCCAGGCGCCCCTCGACTGCAGTTTTAAACAGGAACGCGTTTTACGTTTTCAAGGGATCACATCGGGAGAAAAGGCGGTAAAGGGGGGCTGGAGGGGAAGGGAAAAGCCTTTGCAACTGGCCGGGTCTGCGACAGTGGCAGCCTGGGGCAGAGAGAGGCCTTGGCGAGCGTGCAGCGATCCGCTCGGGCCCGTTGGTGCGTGTGACACGGTGGCCAGCACGGCGGAGGCGGCAGCGTTAGGGAGGCTACAATGACGTTTGCAGGCATCGAGGGCGAGGGGGGTCCTGGGGCAGCCACACATGTTCCCAGGAGAACTGTCCATCTATGTACTCAGGCCCTGGCTCGGGATGGGAAACAAGGGATTATCACACAGTCAGTCCCAGGCGAGCAGTGGATTCTGTCCCTTGTTCAGCATCTCACAAAGGACCAAGCAATCCTCAGCAGTTCCAGATCCCTCAAAGTCCACGTGGGGACAGCTGGCCCTCCGCAGTGGTGAGCCAACGGCACTGGCAGCTCTGTGTGAATTCCATCTGGAACCTTCCCAGACACGGCTTATAAACCTCATTTTACAGACGAGGAAAGACGCTTCACAATGCAAACTATCATGTCTTAGGGTCACACAAGTTGCAGGGCTGGGATTCAAACCTCCATTTTTAACAACAGCCGTTCGCTACTGAGTGGTTACTAAGTTCTTTGCGTGCATCAACCTATTTTGCAGAGGAGGCAATTGAGGCACAGAGAAATGGAGCCTTGCCCAAGGGCCACGCAGCTAGTGAGTAGCAGAGCCGGGGAAACGTGATGTGATACTGAGATGTGTCCAACACTGAAGAGGACACAATGCCCACATCTTCTAGAACATTTAAAAGAGCTCTTGTGGGGCGCCTAGGTGGCTCAGTCTGTTAAGCATCTGACTCCGGCTCAGGTCGTGATCTCACGGTTTGTGAGTTCGAGCCCCGTGTTGGGCTCTGTGCTGACAGTTCAGAGCCTGGAGCCTGCTTCGGATTCTGTGTCTCCCTCTCTTTCTGCCCCTCTCCCGCTCGCACTCTGTTTCTCTCTCTCTCTCAAAAAGTGAATAAACATTAAAAAAAAAATTTTTTTTTTAAAGACCTCTTGTGACTGCGGGCCACAGCATGGAGCCACCCACGTTGGGCATAGTGAATGCTTCTTCAGTGTTCTCTTCAGGGGAGCTGACCACGCTCGCAGCATGTGCCGGCCGAGGGGACCCGGGCACACCTGCACTAGTGAAGGGATGCACACGTAATCTCAGCTGTGACCGAGAAAGGAAACCCGAATCCTGATCCCGGTTCCAATCCAGTTTGTTTACAAAACCAGGCGGGCAGCTCGTGGGCCATCGTTTGCCAAGTTGATTTTTTAAGATACTGCATTAAAATGTTTGTCTTGATTACTGGGTTTTTAGGTGCCGCCTCGAATTAGTGCCCTGGTAAGAGGCTCGCTCACCTCATCCTGGTCCTCACCCGGCTGCCACTGACCGCTGGAACCCCTGGCTGTGGGAGCCCAGCTGACAGGGCCCCGGGAATCTCCTCCCTGAGTCCTGAATTCAGAGTGCCACAACTCCAAAGGACCCAATTCCCCTTTCCTGAGCCCAGACGAGTGGCCGTCCTGGCCAGCAGAGGTCGCCAAGTTACCGTCGTTATCCATGCAGGGGCGCTTCCTTCCCCTTCCATTCTCCTCCTCCACTTCCTTTTCTCTCTCCCTTCCCTCTCTCTGCCTCCTTTCTCTTCTTCTTCCCCTTTTCGTCCTATCTCCCTACCTCGAACTTGGCTCACTCATCCGCCCAACACCGAAGCATCCCCGTGCGTGCGGCAGGCACCGTGCAAATCACCCAGGCTACAGTCAGCAAAGACGTGGGATGTCTGGTTCCCTCCTGCCCGAATTGTGTCATGCGCTCTCTCCCTTCTTCACGCCTTCATTCACTGGGTATTTATTCCACACCCCGGCTCTGTCTGGCTCTGTGCTGGGTCCCAAAGAAGCTACTGGGATGAGAAAGCCCACAGCTACCACCCTGGAGCCCCTTCCCCTCCCCCTGCACTCTGCTGCAATCAATGGTTTCCCCACTGCTCCCCACTGTTTCTGCCCTGCCCGTTGACCCCCCCAAAACGTTCTTCCTTATAAAGCAGCCAGAGGCACCCTTGTAAAGCCAGTTTATGTCACTTGTCTAATCGGAACCTTGATGGCTTCCCATCCCAGCTACATGATGAGGGACCCCCTCACCGCGCCTCTCTGAGCCTCGGTGTCCTCATCTGTAAGATGGACCCATTTTACAGATGAAGAAGCTGAGTCTCAGAGATGCTAAGCGACTTTTCTAGTCATCAGCCTGTAAATGATAGAGATTGTGCCGGGCACTGTCTGTTGTCTACCCCGAGCCACACTCTTTATTCCTTCTGGACAGAACCTCTGTTTATCCAGGTATCTATTAGGTGAGAATGGCTTCATCTCAGGGAAGGTCAGACCGGTCCCTGATGTACAGATGGGCACGTGGCTCCTTTCTGGCCAATAAGACAGAAAAGCGAATCTGCAGAAGTTGCTTCTGGGGAAGATTTTCTTTCTTACAGAAAGGGAGAAGGTTGTGAGAATTTGCTCCATGCCCTGACCCCAACACACCCGCACCAGCATTTCCTGCCTTTAAATGCAGTGGTGATGAGTGGAAGTTCAGCAGCCATTTTGGGGCCGGGAGGCCGACGGTAAAGCACCGGCGAGGGGAAGACAAAGGAGTCAAGAACGGGCAGGGTGTGAGTCCGTCACTGGAAATCGGACCTTTCTTCCCTGACTTATTATTTGCATAAGTAAACATCTTCAAAGCTGAAGCTGCTTTAGTTGGGTTTTCTATCACTCGAAGCAAAAACAGTCCTAACCAGAACAGATACAGATCCCCGTCCCCCCCAAGCCACACGCAGGGTCACTGGCATCTGGCTGCCTTCCCCGGGGCGGGCTGGCATATCGGGCGGCACAGGCCTCTCGCCTGAGATCAAGGTGAAGGAGCCACGGCAGACAGTCTCCAGCCCCTTCTGTTCCAGGGCCGGAAGGTGAGACCCCTGGACTGAGATTCAGCCTGTGCGAGGCCTGGCCAATGTGCCCGCAGCTTCCTCTGTGTGTCTGGCCCCTTCTGCTGTTACTCTGCCCCCACTTGCGCACGCTGTTCTTCCCACAGACAGTCCTGCCGCTATCTCAGGGTCTTTCTCCCTGCTGTTCCCTTTGCCCGCGACACTGTTCCCCGCAGACCTCTATGTGGCCTCCTCCCGCACTGCCTTTAGGCCTCTGCCGGTTACCGCTGTGAGAGGTCCCCTGGGAGCACCCTCTATAAAAGGTGACACCCCCCTCCCCAGCCCTCCCCGCCCCTCCCCAGCTCTGTTTCCACCCCGTTCACCAGCACCTGCTATCCTTCAGATTCACCTGCTCGTTTGCATCCTGCTCTCTCCGTGGGCAGGGGGCCGTGTTTGTGCCCGGCTCCGGCCGCGGTTTCTACAGTGGTGCCTGGAAGGTAGTAGATGCTCTGTAAACATTTCCTGATGGCAGTGGAATTCCCTCGTGCAAGCGTAGCCTGCTTGTGGGAAAGAAAATTCACGGGGCCACATGAGCCTCCCTCCCACTGCCCGCCCCCCCCTCGCCCCCGCGTGCCACCTACCCACAGTCTTCCCTGCTGGAAGCAAAGCACAGTGTGGCCCCGGCCTGCAGCTTAGAACAAAAAACATTCAGAACCCTGGGGATTTGGTGCTGATCAAAGGCTTCCTCGTGTTTGTAAACCTTCACCCTCTGCCCAGGACACAGAAGGTTAGGGGCGGCCCAGAGCCCAGAGTTAGCCGCGCTTCCAGGCCGGGGGACTCTGGGCCTGCCCCTTCCCCGTAGCGAGGAAAGGCCCCCCACCGCAAGGCCGAGCGGGTTGAACCCAGCCAGGGATCTAAAAGGGGTAACTAATCCCACCCCCAGCCTGAGGCCCACCTGCCGGCCCTTGGATTCAAAGCCAATGTTACTCTTGGAGCTACGGAGGCCTGACCAAAATGTCACGCTGAAAGATGCTGATAGTGGTGCAGCTCAGCGAGGCGGGGGGCAGGCGGGGAGGGGGAGTGGGAAGCTGGTGCCTGCATACTCCCAGCATGCTCTCCCCTCCCCCAGCCTTATTTGTCTTCGTAGCACTAAGCACTGTGGGATATGTGATGTATTTCACTCACTTATCTTATGACAGAGCAAATAAAAGGGAGGCTCTGTGAGCCCAGAGACCTTTGTCTTGGTTGTTCACTGCTGTAGCCCCAGCGCCCAGAATGACACCTGGTGTATACAGTAGGCGCCCCACGAATACTTGTGGACGTGGGCCGCCCGGGGGGCTCTGTCACGTAAGCATCCGACTCCTGATTTCAGCTCAGGCCATGATCTCACAGTTTCATGGGATCGAGCCCCGCATTGGGCTCTGGGCTGGCACGGCAGAGTCTGCTTGAGATTTTCTCTCTCTCTGGCTCTCTGCCCCTCCCCCCCCCCACTCTGTCTCTCCAAATAAGTACATAAACTTAAAAAACGACTTGTGAATAAATGGTAGTCATGATTTTGGTTGATGTTCACAATAATAAAGTGCAACAATTTAAGACAGGTTCAAGTTTTCAATGCTTACGGAACCTCCGCTATGTTCCAGGTGCTGTTCCGGGCACTGGGGATACGGTGAGGATGAACGAGGACTCCCGGTTCTCATGGAGTTTAATCTAGTAGGGAATGGTTTGAAACGATGACTCGTGCTGTGAAGGAAAGAACTCGGGGCAGACTCGACATAGAGTGCGTGACGCAGAGTGGAGGAAGGTTACGTTCGTTGGAGCAAAGACCCACGTGAGAAGGAAGCAGCCAGTGAGGTGGGATGGTGGGGGGATGTGGGGGGGGGACATCCAGGCAGAGGGAGCAGTCCGTGCGAAGAACCTGGCATGTTCAAGGAGCAGAAAGGAGGTCATGAAGAGGGTGGCAAGCAGTGGTTGAGGGGAAAGCGGGTAGGACGTCAGGCCAAAGAGCTAGGCATGGCTCGATCGTTCATGTCCGTGCCCAGCACAGTGCTTGGCACATAGCAAGCCCTTAATAGCTGGGCTGGTGACTGTAATCAGTCGATCACATCGATGGTTATTTTCCTCTTAGAAATGGGGAGGGGCAGTGGCGGTGCGGATCATTGGAATTTCAGCCCTGTCGTGCACGAGCTGTGTGACCTCGGGCAAATGTCTTAATCTCTCGGAGCCTCAGTTTCCTCATCCGTCTAACAGACAAGCCTAGTAGGGAATGAAAATAAATGCTGGTCAGACCATCCGTCAACTGTGGAAGTTCTTTAAGAATTTCCTCCCACTTTGGGGCAGGGGGACGGGGGGGCTGGGTAGGTCAGTCGGTTAAGCTTTGGCTCAGGTCATGATCTCGCAGTTCATGAGTTCAAGCCCCAAGTCCGGCTCTGGGCTGACGGCTCAGAGCCTGGAGCCTGCTTCGGATTCTGTGTCTCCCTCTCTCTCTGCCCCTCCTCTGCTCATTCTCTCTCTCTCTTTCTCTCTCTCAAAAATAAATAATAATAATAATAAAAACACTTAAAAATTTTTTTTTCAACGTTTATTTATTTTTGGGACAGAGAGAGAC